TAGCCAATTCCCAGAAATGCCAGCCACCATCCTGTACTTTAACAAACATACTCTAAATGTTGCGAGCCGAGAATATAAGAGGAACTGGAGATAGATATCAGTTTTAGTAGCAAAGAAAAACAACCTGTATTAAAAAATTGGAAAATGCTAGTAAATTTCATGATTAACCATAAAGAAACACCAAGTAAAATTAAATTTAACATGAATTTTGGTAAAGAAAAATTTTATACTTGTAAAATACACATATTTTTTTGTTTTATTTACAACTTAAATAAATAAATATATTATTTAACCATGTAGATCTACATGTATGTAGTAGGAATCATTTACTTTAAACTTTTGCATAATTTTACTGGCAAAATACTGTAAAACACTACAGTGAAAACCTGTAAATTGGTTATTAACCTGGTGAAATTCAATAAAAACTTTCAGAAATAATGGTAACACTTTAGTTTATGTAACAATGTACTACATGTACTACTGGCTTATTACCAGCCTATTATTAAGATTTGAACTGTTTATTAACCCTTTATAAAGTATGATCTTATTTTACATCTGTAATCCTAATCCACAGGTAGCAGTAATAGATGAGCTACAATTTACAGGTAGAGTATGCACTGCGCTCCTGCGTTAATCTTATAAACAGAATAAATCAAAAGGTCATGATCCTTCAACAGACATTTAACTGACTATAAGAAACTTTGCAAGTGTAACGGCAGCCAGCTAGTAAGTGATAGGTCACTGGTTTTATACTAGCTCGGAGCAGGTTGGGTGGCATTGGATTGGTGGGTTTACATTGGTGCCGTGACCCGGATGGGAGTGAGATAGGGGGGTGAGTGTAACGGAGACCAGCTAGTAAGTGCTGTGCAGGTTAAAACCTCACTCCTCTGACCTCTAAAGGTGCTCTAGCGACAGAAGCTAGAGGCCATGGTCTTTATTCTCCTTGTTAGAGCAACCAACTCCCATGCAGATGGTTGCCGGTTCAATACCAGCTCGAAGCGGGTTGGGTGGCGTAGGACCGGCGGGCGTAGGACAGGCAAGTACATGTCAACTTACACTAACCCTAACCCCAACCCCAACATAACAGTACTTATAATCTACAGAGAGTTAGTTGGCATATAGATGCAATGTAAATTAAATTCAACAAACGGACCATCAAAACAAAGTGATTTCATTCTAGCCAAAATAGAACAAATAAGACTTTCTCCAGAAGAAAAAAATATTATAGGAAATGCTTTGAAAAAGATTCTTGCTCATCATTTGGGAAGTACTTAAAAAAGAAAGTAAAATTCACAAGTAAAATTCACATAATATATATGATCAATATAATCTCTAAAACCTCAAATGTTTCTATGCCATATTAATTTTTTCTGTCAACGAAAGCTGCCATTTCCTAACAAAAAAAGCAAGGAAAAAAAACAGGTCAGAAAAAAACTGAGGAAGGAAATCATCATCCCTAGGGTAAAACTGAGTAATATCTGCTCTCTTATACCAGTAATGCACATATTCAAGTTCATCTGACCCCCTCAAACCATTTTAGATCATCTGAACCCCCACGGCTTGTGTTTTAATCAGCAATCATTTTCACAAGGATCATCGTGCTCTGTAATATATAGTATCTAAATGTCCTGCCCGCGAGCTCTCTCTCTGTATGTAATCCAGAGGAAATGGGAACTCAAGCTCACTATCAGGTCAGTGGATTAGTTTGAAGACCCGGCGATCCACAATTTTTGGACACATGCTGTGATGTTCTGACCGGGATGAGACCTTGGTTTCGAAACTAATTTCGGTCTTTGCTGCTGTGGCCACGGGCAAGTGTTATTCCAGATAATAATATAACGTTGCTGTTATGAAATGAACCGCAGATATGACATTTGGACATTTGCTGACACATATCTGGCAGACGCATGTGAAGAGCAAGGAGAGTCCTATGACAAACAAATCCCGCAGGAACGTGTCCCTAGGAAGGGGAATTTATTATATGCTACTTATAATAGAATAGATTTGTTTTACTGGCAACTTGATTATTCTCTGTTTCTCTGAATTGATGATTTATAGTTATGTGTTTGAGTAAAAATTTGTTTTATTCCTTAAACAACTGATGACATTTCCTACAGATTTGAAATCAGATTGTTATTTAGAGTCTTTTTTTTGCATCAAACAACAATTGGTCAAAATAAGAAACAAAAAATGCAGTTTTTAGATGATTACACTGTAAAAAGTGATTATTTACATTATTAAAAAGGTGATTAAACCCCTTGTAACCATTAAGTTGACTTAACTTAATGTTATAATTATCCACATAGTTTATTTATATAATAATTTTAAGGCAACTGTCACGATCGCCAGCGATCTGTCCTCAAATTGCTGGAGAGCTACACATTTGTCTGTTTAGTAAACTACAACTCCCATCAAGCAACTCAGACACACCAGTTCCTGATTCCCATTACACACACAGAGCTGGAAGCCCATGGTGGACTTTAAAAACAGCATACACTCACAGACTTTGCTAAGTCTGGTTTTTGTAACACCACAAAGCCTTTCCTAGTCTTGTCTTTCTGTGTTTGATCCTCGCCTTGTTTCCTTGTTTACATTGATTGCCGCCTGTATTGAAAGCTTTGCCTGTGACCTCGACTACGCTTCGGGATTACCCTTATGCTCCTGTTTGTACCTGTTGACCATTGTCTGCCTGTAGTGGTGGGCTAAACGAGGTTTTTTGAAACACTGAAACAGTCTAATCAAATGTGTCGAAGCTTCTAAACGTTTTGAAACCTGTGACACCTAGTGGTCATTTTTATGTAATGCTTTGGAACAGCTTCGGCACGTGGTAGAGTTAGAGTGGTTTAGGGAAGTAGTGAAAGTTCCACACTAGCATGATAAGATAATGAGTTAGAATCCAGGGTGATGCAACTATAGATGTTAAAAAAATAAGCATTCTGTCAAAGCATGCTGTCAAGTTTTGTTATGTCGTACAAATACTCTGAAATTATGACTTGATGTAATTTAATAATGACTTTTACTTTATGACCATAACAAGACATTTTTATTCACAAAATGCTCATTCAAGTCACAGCACAGTTACTCTTTGCACACACACGGTCCACAAGGCTACATGAGATTTTTTTTTCCAACCCTGTCAGTCGAACAGATTCACCAGGTCTCGGAACGTTTCTGAAATGACCGATGCTTTAAATCGTTTTAGTCAAATGACTAATCAAAACACTTTAGTCACATGACCTGGGTGTTTTGAATCACCTTGGTCACGTGGCCTGGGTGTTGTTTAGATGCAGTATTCGTTGCAGTATTTCGAATCACTTGGGTTTCGAAATCTCCACACTGTGTCGAAACGTCAGTTTCACATCAGCCGTCCCTACCTGGCTGACGATTCTTCGTAGATCCTCAACTCTGTTGTCTTCCTGACTCCCCGTTGGTTACAGCAACGGGTTTACTCACTTTTTTGAAGTAAAGTCAACTAATTGCATTAAAAACAGTGGGTTTACTCGCTTTTTTTTAGGTAAAGTCAACTAATTGCATTAAAAGTCCACTAATTGCATTAAAAAACAACAGGTTCACCACTTTTTAAAGTAAAGTTAACTAATTGCATTATAAGCAAAGGGTTTACTCACATGTTTACAGTGTATATTGATTTTCGGACAACAAAATAGCATAATAGCAACATAATATTTAATTTCAGAAGAGCTACAAAACAAATATTTATTCAAACAATCTAAATATAATCAAGAACGTAAATAAATGAATAAGCAATGACAGTTTCTTGCTGATTTTTTTTATCAAATGAAACAAACCAACAAAACAATCTGAAATTTTGTTTGTCCCATCTAATTTTTAAATACTCATTTATACTCATATATTGTATACTCAGTTTTAGACAACAAAATAGCGTAAAATAATCTAAAATTGTATAGGAGCTAAAAAACAACTAACATTTAGTCGAATAATCCTGCTTTTCAGTAACATGAAAACATCTAAATGTAAAAATCTAAATAAAATCTTTGTGATTCACAGAAGAAAGCAATTATATAAGTTAAAAAAATTTGTAATTTCTTGCAGATTTTTATTAAATGAAAGTTAGATAGTTAGGGTGGCCAAAAAAACAAACAAACGAAAGATCATAACACTTCTTGACGTTTGTCCCATCTGAGACTTTCCATCTAAAATATCACAAAGGCAGATCTATTTACTTTATTAGCAAACACAAATGTAATTCTCATTTTCCCAGTGTTTTTATTTAACTAATTACACTAAAAGACACAGGTTTACTCACAATTTAAAATCAAACCAACGAATCGCATTATAACCAAAGAGTTTACTCACTCAACTAATCGTCTTTTTACAGTGTATATTCATTTTTAGACTACAAAATAGCATAACAAAATATTAAATTTCATAAGAGCTATAAAAAAAGCTAATATTTAGTTGAATAATCCTGTTTTTCAATAACAACAGATGAAATAATTTAGGGGAAAAATCTAAATATATTCTTTGTGATTCACAGAGAAAACTAAGAAGTAAATAAGTGTTAATAGAAGAGTCGTTTCTTGCAGATTTTATTTTCTAAAATGACAGTAAAACAGCTTAAATCACTTTAAACCTTGACGTTAAGCTTACTTTAAATACTTTAAACCATCTAAAATATCACAAAGCCAGAAGTATTATTATTTTTTTCAAGTACAAATTCAATTCTCATTTTTCCTCACTGTTGCATAACTCTGAAGCCATTGCTGTCAGAGGTTTGCGAGAATCAGTAATAGTTTGTTAAGTGCATGTTTTGTTGATCTCCGGCTACATTAAAGCTTCTCTCGGTCCTTACAGTCCATCACTAATTGATATTTGAGAGCTGCTCGGCTTTAGAAGAGAGAGAACTACATGATCACCTTCCTCTAAACACACAGAACATTCTGCACTCTGATGCGAGGACAAAAAAAAGCAGGAATGCCATGTCACAGGCTCCAAAGAAATACCACAACATCTCGGTGTACCTGTGGATCTGTGCGTCCCGTCGCTGCAGGCATGGTCGAGTCCCAGACGACTTTTTTTCGGGGTCCTGTAAATCGCTGTTAAGATATGCTCGGAGTTCCTCCGAATAAGAAAGAGGGAAAGTTAGCGCAAAAATCTTTAGAGGAAATTCATGGCACACAGCAAGGACAGCCGTCCAGACAAACAAGCAAACAAGTGTGTCATTCATTCATTTTTTTTAATTCCTGCACATTTCAACCCACTGGACTGGCTCGCAACAAAACTGAGCGCTGCTTTGTAAACAGTAAACCAGTCATCAAATATATCCAGTGTAATCACAGACTGCAGAGAGAAGAAAGACGAGGTTTTTCGAGTTTTCTTGTTCGGCTGCCCAGTTTGTATTATTAGACTCGAATTCCCCCATTGCAGTCAAAGGCTTATTCACTCGCCCAGCGTGTAAAATACAACATCTTGATATTTTTATGAACGTGCGGCCGATATGTGGTGTGTGTTTTAACAAAGCAAACAAAAAGACTTAATCTGGGTAAACGGTGATAAGTTTGCTAGTTTGTCTAACGCTAAAATACTCTCTCCATATTTAAAGACTGCTTTAAATCAGGCATTTGGACTGTAGGGTGTTATATGGGAAAATGTCAAGCCTGGGTATTTCAGTATTTGCATGTTAGGCTTGACGTGTCGAATTCTTAGTTTTGAGATGGGACGACCTGTTTGTCTGGTCAGTTTTCATGTCACATTTGATGGAAACGGCTGTTATTTTTACAAATAGCTGAGCAGAGATGCTTAAAAGTGATAGCTGACCCTAAAAATTAAGTTCATGTCACGTCTTTCTAAATTTTTAGATGTCTAAATATTTAAACAGTGGTGTCACGGTGGCACCGTGAGTAGCACGATCGCCCCACAGCAAGGAGGTCACTGGTTCGAACCTCAGCTGGGTCAGTTGGCATTTCTGTGTGGAGTTTGCATGTTCTCCCCGTGTTCATGTGGGTTTCCCTAGGTTCTCCAGTTTTCCCCCACAAGTGCAAAAACATGTGGTATAGGTGAATTGGGTTGGCTAAATTGACCGTAGTGTATGTGTGTGAATGAGTGTGTATGGATGTTTCCGAGTGATAAGTTGCAGCTGGAAGGGCCCTTTCAGCTGCAACCCATCACTGGGAAAGGGTGTATATATAGTCCGGATAATCAATAATAATGAGAGTCAGCTGTACATGTATGATCAGTGGAGAAAGGTGACTGGTGTGTGTAACGGCATGCAGGGATTTGTAGTTCATGGATGAGCTTGTAGTTCACTAGAGATCTTCCAAGAAGTGATTGCTAGTGTATTAGTCAGTTTATTCATTCATTTTCCTTCAGCTTATTCCCTTATTTATCTGGGGTCGCCACAGCAGAATGAACCACCAACTATTCCAGCATATGTTTTACCCAGCGGATGCCCTTCCAGCCACAACCCAGTACACACACACCAATATAGTTAATTTAGTTTTTTCAGTTCACTTATACTGTATGTTTTTGAGAAACCAGAGCGCCAAGGGGGAAACCCACATTAACATGAGGAGAAGATGCAAACTCAACACAGAAATGCCAACTTGCCCAGCCAGGATTCAAACCTGTGACCTTCTTTCTGTGCGGCGACATTGCTAACCACTAAGCCACCATTTACAGTGATGTTTAACTTATTATTATTAGTCAGTTTGACTGATGTAAGTCGATTTAACTTAAAAAGTTCATTTGATTCAACTCAAAAAAATAAAGGAGGCAAGAATGTTTTATTCTTGCCATGGAGATGCTCCCATATACTAGATTACAGTGAGCATCTGTCCGGTATTAAACCACGAAATGGATATTTTCATCTGAGACGACAGTGACCTGCTTGTTTTCTTGTTAGCAATTATCCGAGCGAGGCATAACGTCCCATTATGCCGTCACAATAGTGATTTGACTCACAAAGTCGAGAGGGAGAAGAATAATTGCTGTAATTACAGACACAGAGAGGATCAGCTGAAGAAAAGCGTGCATCAAAAGAAGCAGATCTTCCTGAAAGGTAAAGGCCTTGAGCGGAGGAACCGCCTCTGTTTAGGGTGCGGGTTGACAGAGGGTCCTTTCAGCCGCAAAGCCCTGATGCAGGTATGTTAAACATGCCAGTGTTTGCTGAGTTTCAGGTGGAGAAAAAGCAGCCAAAAAGAGCACAAGCATCTTGTGAGAGGATGATAGATTGAAGTCATTTTTTACCTTCAAAATGAAAGGGGGTGGTAGGTGCGCAGTGGGTAGTCAGCTCACAGCTAGAAGGTAGCTGGTTCAAGCCTCGGCTGGGTCAGTTGGCATTTCTTAGTGGAGTTTGCATGTTCTCCCCGTGTTCACTTGGGTTTCCTCCGGGTGCTCTGGTTTCCCCCAAGTCCAAAGACATGTGGTACAGGTGAATTTAATAAACTAAATTGTATGTATGTGTGTGAATGAGTGCTCACTTAAAACATTTGGGTTAATAATAACCCAACAGGTAACCCAATGATGGGTTGTTTTGGCACCGACCTGTTGTTAGGTTATTTTAACCCAATCCATTGGGTTGTTAAGGTTAACTCAACAATTTGGGTTACAAAAATAACTAATTTGTTGGGTTATTTTGCCAAAAAATAGTGGCTTAACCACTAATATCACAAATATGTTCATCATTTCCTCCCAAAAAAACTATTGAAATGAACACGGAGTTAGAGAGAGTGCTTTTATCCGTATCGTCTATAAAGCGCGTCTGTAAACACAACAGGAAGAGGTAATTTGATTAAAAATAAACATTTTATTACGTGTGCATATTAATACAGCTGTTCTGTCGGGTAAATCAGTTGACTGTTGAAATTCCAAATTTTTAACTAAACTGGTTGAGTTATTAAATAAATAACCCAACAAAGGCTAAAAATAACCCAACAAAGCACCAAACATTTAACCCTGGTTGAGTTATTAATAATAAAAAAAAACAATAAAGGTTCAAAATAACCCAACAATTTTTAGAGAATGTGTGTATGGACTCTAAAAAAATGTTGAGTTATTTATTTAACCCAATTGTTGAGTTAAACATATTTGGTGCTTTGTTGGGTTAGTTTTTAACCTTTATTAGGTTATTTATTAATAACTCGACTAGTTGAGTTAAATATTTGGTGCTTTATTTGGGTTATTTTGAACCTTTTTTAGTTTTTTTTTTATTTATTAACTCAACCAGTTGAGTTAAAAATTAGAATTTCCACAGTCAACTGATTTAACTGACACAAAACAGCTGTATTATGCGGGCAAAATGTTGTTTTTGCAATATTTATTTAAGCTATAACACAATAATATTGTTGTTATTTTTTTTATCAAATTACTTCTCCGTTACGTGTTTTTTATATCTGTTTCACCATCCAAGACCATCTTTTAAAAGCGTTTTGATGTGGTTAAAATTTATTGAACATTGTGGAAACTGAGTAAAGCTTGCTGCAGCTGCTGGACTGTCTCTACAGCACACAGAGCTCCATATTCTGCTCCATCAACACATGATTTTCTGCTTACACAGTTTATAACGGTCTGTACTTTGTTCCGTTTATTCATTGTTTGTGATTCTTGATTTATTTTAACAAAGGTGTCTGGAATTTAAAATGTAATGGAAATGAAGCCTTTTTTATATTTTTGAAAACTCTATGTTATTTATTTACACAGTTATAATTATAAAATGAATAATAGTACTACTAATAGTAGCAGAATGGAAAAAATATATAATTTAATCAAATTAACCCAATGCATTGGGTGATTTTGTAAGCATAGTAAAGTGGTAAAAATGTAAAAGTTTTCCTTGTCTTCTCTACAGAATTCAGAAAAGTGGTTAAAAGTGGTCAAAAGATAAACGGTATAAACAAAAAAAGTGCCTCCCTCGTCTATCTGTGATCTGATCAACCAAACACTTCCTAATAATATGAAATGTAAGGCCAACTCCAGTCTCTCCAATAGTGTATAGTGTACACCCACACATTAGCTCTCACAGTAGACCAGATTCCATCATGGATGGCAGGGTTATTTTAGGCCTCATAGTGGTCATCTGCTCTGACTCAGTGCTTGAGGTTACATGCAGAGATGTTTCGGGCACAAGCTGAGCACAAAGAGCCACAAATGCCACGTGTCCGCCAGTATTGCAGCTGTAATGGCACTGGGCCCATGAACTGTGTCAGTGACTGAAGCTTCTAATGCTTCATTGTGTATTTTAGGAGAGCAGCGATTAAGTGACCAGCACGAGTTGTCACTGTAGTAATAGTCTAATGTGTGCGTTTAGTTTGAGTGAAACTTAAAAGCACAATTTGTGTTTACCTTTTCATGAAAAGCCGATGGTTTGAAACAAATCTTCTCTTGATTGTGATATAATTATAAGAGAATTAATAATAATTTTGACTTCAACTGTAGTTAAACAGGCATTTCAGATTTTGAAATATATGTTGCATATTTGACATACTGTATATTAAGTGAACTCCAAATATGAAATTGAACGTCAGATATGTAATTTGCATGTATTTCCATAGATCAGATTCCTATACAGGGTTGCAAATATTTTGTTGAATGCTGAAAGTGCTAGCCATTGACATCCATAGACTTTAATGCAATCAAAAAGATTGTGTCTACATCTCTCTAAATGTAAAGTGCCTTTGTATATCTTAAAAATATTGTTTTTTTTTCTGTCATGACATTTTTACAGTGCAAAGAAAAGGTGATCTTTAATAATTGAAGATATTTGACTTAATGAGTGTTTAAAAAAATCCTGTCAAATGCCTTTTATTCAGAGCCAATATGAAAATACAAACAATTTTTGAGCATCATCCGTTTTGGTGGTTGAATTAACAAAACAACATTAATAGACAAGGCCCTCTATATTTTATGAATGACGTCTCTTGTGTTTACCAAAGCTTTTTGTTTGATTTTAATTGATTACTTTTTAAAATAACTGGTTTAAATTACAATATCGTCGGTGCCAATGGCGTAGTGGTTAGTGTGTGGAATTACACTGTAAAAAATGCTGGGTTCAACACAATCAGTTTTAGTTCATGCAAATTAAAGCAATTAAGTTTTTCCAAAAACAGGGAAAAACATCTATCATCAATTTAAGTGTGCTGCTGAAACAGATATAAAAACACGACATGGAGTACTAAAAAAATACATATAATTATTGCGTTAGATCTAAAATAAACCTTAA